AAAAAAAAAAAAAAAAAATCATCAATGTAAAATTTCTCAAATTAGAAAAGGAAAAAGAATAAAACAAAGTCCATATAAGAGGACTAACATAATATTAGCTCGGAAACTTGAAATCAGACATCAAAAGATAACGGAAAATTATATATTCTACATTTTCGACTTGAAGGAATAAACTTTTGTAATACAAAGGAATTACTACAACCAGTCATACTTAGCCTAATGACTGACATACACACACAAGAAAAAATTAACAATTCCATCATTCACATTCACATTCACAAATAATCCCTCGACATTTGTGCTACACAAGTTGCAATCTGCTGAGATTATTTACAAAATAAATACAACAAAATTGATAACATAATGTTTTTCAAATGAACCTTACATCCATGGTGGGTTTTGCACTTCCATAACAATGAATCCACCAAAAGAACAAAAGAACTAACCAGTCATGTTATCAATTAGAAAGAAAAGAGTGCATTTCAAACCTGACCTCCCAGGTCCCAGAATATGAGTTTCGTGTTTGACACTTCTACACGGCCAATATTGAGTCCCACAGTTGGAACAATTTTATCAGGAGGGAGGCCTTCCACATTCGAGTACTGTGACTTCAATTTCTCCAGTAATGTCTACAAATTAATATTAAAAATCTGCTCAAATAAAGATTCTGAGTAAATAGCACATGTTTGCATCCTTGGTTTTGGATATATATAAATCTTAAGAAGAAGAAAAAAATCATAAAAAGAATGGGAATAGAAGTTAGGAAACAGTAATTCCACCATGATGTTTCAATGTGTATCAAGCAAAAGCAAGAAAAATGATTGAACCTGCTTTAGTAAAATGAAAATTGAGAATTCTCAGGAGGATACATGAGTTCTAACTTTCAAGAGTTTCCACAACATGAACCGGCACGGCTAATATTGCAAAATTGGTACATGTAGAAAAGCTTATTTTTATATTTTTTTTTCTTTTGACTATACAAGAAAATCAGTGAACAGTCCAACATCATCTAAATTTGCTTCAGCTCAAGTATTAGTAGTGTCTTCACAAGGTGTCCATGGTGTTATCAGATATGTTTTCTCAAAATACATGCCTATCCTCTTTGAGTCGTAGGAGTCCCATCCTAATCTCATCAAACATAAATGTGTAAACCTAAACCAAGTAAATATCAAAAGGTATAAGCCAGTTCCAAAATATTTTGAAAGTTCAAGCATCTATGCGCCAAAATATAACTACCTATGAATATATACTAAAACAAGTGAAAGCCCTACGCCAAGACAGTAGTAAAATAGATAAGAAAATTACTGTCTTGCCAGCCTTGTCGATTCCAAGAATAAGTACGTGAAATTCAACCTTGCTCAGCATGTACTTCCATAGTCCGTAAAACAAAGAAAACATCCTGATTTTTCTCTTGTATCTTCAACGCAGCAAGAAATTAGAAGTTCAATATCTTGCAACTATATAACGACCATAAACAAATACTTGTTAAAGAAAAAATACAAAACGCAAGAGTGCCACAGTTATTCAAACCAATTCTCCACATGAAACAATACTTTTGGCCATAACATACATAATTCCAACTATTAACAGTACAGGATAAAAATTAGTATTATCTTTCTTCGGCATTTAAGCGACAGCCAGTAAACAAGAACTAAGTTGGGAGAAATAGGTACCAACAATATAAGCATAAACAAAACTGAAACCTTTCCAATTGATTATTTTAATTCTCAGAGTATTGCACCCTACATGAAAATGGCTAAATGCCAGAATTAAATGTCAGATAAAATGACCGTAACATTTACGTGTCTCATATCGCTATTCTCCTTACATTACCAGACAATGAGACATTGATCACCTTGGTTATTTTACCATACGGCAACTGGAAAGTTGTTAAGCCTAGAAAGAACCCAAAAAAGAAAAACCACTGGTAGTTTATGAACACTTTACCACAAACCCCCCAAATGACATTTCTCAAAACTCAGTAAGCATCAACCGGAAACCTAAAGGAGTAAATAAATCAAAATCTCATATGCAAAAACTCGAATCAAACTGGTAGTTTATTGCACCGCATCACATTGATCACTGAGATCTCAACTTCAACAAAAACGAGGTAAGCAAATCCATTTGTTCCATCATTAAGGATGCGACCAAAATCGATATTAACGACGGATCAAGAAAAAAATGGCGAAAGGCAGCAAACTCCAGCCGCCTAATTCACAAAGCAATCAAGTAACAGAGATAAATTGGTGAAGAAATGTGAATTCACGTACCTCTGCGTATGGGATGGAGTATTCGGAAGAGTGAATTAAAGGCTTCCGAAAGGTGCTTGTGATTTTCTCTTGTATATTTATTTCGTTAAACTGGATCTATTGACCCCAAATTTCTTTTTTTCCGTTCGATTGGTTTGATGGATGATGTGGAATAAGCATAGCTAGAACCATTAAATTTTAACCGAGCCGCTTGTGAGCTCGACTTATCTCGTCTCTTCTGGCCTCGAGCTCGACTTGGCTCATTAGACAAACGACCAGAGTTCGAGTTCTTTTAAAGCTCGTCCAGCCAACGGACAAGTTCGACTCGATGAGGCCCAAAAAGATGATTTTTAGGTAATTTTCTATAGTCCGACTCTATATTGGCTCGTTAACCCTTACTCAGCATGTTAATATAGATGAACGAGTCAAACTTGAGCTCGATTGCAAGCTCGTTAAATTAACGAATCGAGCCGAGCTCGGCTCGTCAGGGGCTCGAGCTCGAGCTCATGTTGCTCGAGCTCAGCTCGACTTGTTTACACTCCTAAGCTCTTTACTTTGACACAAGACGAGATAGGATATAAGAAGTTATTTTATTAGTGCAAATTTGTTCTTTGTTAGTATGATAGGAGCCCGGGACAAAACTCGACCAGATATGATATTTACCCAAATCAATTGGAAGGTTTCAGTGCAAATCGCACCTTCTTACTCCTCAAATCCGTGATGCTGATGAAGCCAGGTTGTCGTCGACATTGTTGGAGTTCAAGTGAAGAGTAGGGAACCGTCGTAGATTTTGTTGAGCTTCAGCACATTGAAGGAGTTGAGGAGTAAACAAAGATTCTTCACAAATTTCCAACTTCTCCAATTCTGCAATATGGATGGCAATGTGAGCACAACTCGCACTAATGCATTTAGAGCGGGTCAAACCTAAAGCCGTCAAAACGGGCCAAAGCCCATGGGCCAATGTTGTAAGTATTTTTATCGGAGTAGAATCGAAGGATTCGACACCGGGTCGTATCACAAGGAAGGTCGACCGGATTATTTTGCACGTTATTCAATCACACAAAAAGATAAAAGAAAGTCCTAAACACTCTAATTCAAGATTAATGGTTTGATTTAACGACTACTAATTTTAAAGCAAGTAATTACGAAAGCAAAACAATCAATTCCAAACTCACAGTTAAAACACAAATTTCAATAGTTTAAAGGGACTAGGGTATCGGGGACAATCGTTTCCGGTTCTCAAAGCATTTAACGGGAATCAATCACTCGGCTAACAGAGTTAAAGGCCAATTCATCTAAAGATTCATCCTCAATATCTCACAAAACAAGAGAATAAACATAAACGAACAATCATCAAGTCAATTAGAACATAGGCAATACATTACTGAATAAGCCTATTCTAAACGAGCCGAGGTCGATCAATTTCTCCCCTTTCAGTTCTAAAATCGATTAAATGAATTAGGATGGTGATCAATCA